CTGTGCGCCAACGCCGACGGCAGCGAGAAGCTGCCCCCGCTGGTGGCGGGCAAGTCAGCCAAGCCCCGTGCTGGCCAAGCCGGCCTGCCCTGCGACTACACCGCCAACTCCAAGGGTGGTGTGACCACCCAGGCCCTGGCCAAGTACCTGAAGGCCCTGGACACCCGCATGGCCGCAGAGTCTCGCCGAGTCCTGCTACTTGCTGGCCGCCTGGCTGCCCAGTCCGTGGATACCTCAGGCCTCCGGCATGTGCAGCTCGCCTTCTTCCCGCCGGGCACCGTGCAGCCACTGGAGCGGGGAGTTGTCCAACAGGTGAAGGGCCACTACCGCCAGGCTATGCTGCTCAAGGCCATGGCTGCGCTAGAGGGCCAAGATCGTTCAGGCCTGCAGCTGGGCCTCATGGAGGCCCTGCACTTCGTGGCTGCAGCTTGGCAGGCAGTGGAGCCTTCTGACATAGCCGCCTGCTTTCGTGAGGCTGGCTTCGGGGGTGGCCCAAATGCTACCATCACCACTGCCCTCAAGAGCGAGGGAGAGGAAGAGGAGGAGGAGGAAGAAGAAGAGGAAGAGGAGGGAGAAGGGGAAGAGGAGGAGGCAGAGGAGGAGGAGGAGGAAGGGGAGGAAGAGGAGGAAGGGGGGGAAGGAGAGGAGTTGGGGGAGGAAGAGGAGGTGGAAGAGGAGGCTGATGTTGATGACAGTGAGGAAGAGGAAGAGGAGGAGGAGGAGGAGGAGGAGAGCTCCTCTGAGGGCTTGGAGGCAGAGGACTGGGCCCAGGGTGTAATGGAGGCCGGTGGCAGCTTCGGAGGCTATGGTGCCCAGGAGGAGGCCCAGTACCCTACCCTCCATTTCCTGGAAGGTGAGGCAGACTCTGAGTCGGACAGTGAGGAAGAGGAGGACGACGATGAAGACGATGACGATGAAGATGAGGATGGTGATGAGGTGCCTGTGCCTAGCTTTGGGGAGGCCATGGCCTACTTCGCGATGGTAAAGAGGTACCTGACCTCCTTCCCCATCGATGATCGTGTGCAGAGCCACATCCTCCACTTGGAACACGATCTGGTCCATGTGACCAGGAAGAACCATGCCAGGCAGGCAGGCGCTCGGGGTCTTGGACATCAAAGCTGAGCCACTGGGCCTCGCCATGCCCTCAACCCAGATGTGGCAGCACCAGCCCAGGGCAAAAGGACTCTTTGGGCAGCTGCTGTGGATGGAGCCCCAGATGCTACCATCACTTTAGCGATGTTCCCCAGGCCCTGAGAACAGGCCCAGTCACCTTGGTAGGGCCCAGGGTTGGGGTCAGCCTCACTGCCTGCTTATTGCCTCTTTCTCAGAGTCCTCTTTCCTCCCCATTTGCCCCTGAACTTGGGGGACCAGGTGGGGAGCTGTCCGGTGCTACCACACCATGCCATCAGTGGACTAGGCCACAGCAGCCACCAGGGATGGGCCCTGGAGGCTCCCGGCCAGACAGTGCCTCTCCCCTCTGCCGTCCACACCAGGTCTTTGGTGGGGGGGACCCCAAAGCCATTCTGGGAAGGGCTTCAGAGGAAGGTCCAGCCTAGGCCCCTATGAGGCTGGCAGCCCCCCATCCCTGCCCCCAGACCGCCTCAAGAAGCACAGTCTAACCACAGGCTCCTAAGCCTGCTTCCGCCTGCTTTCCCACCTCCCCAATCCCTTTCTCTGGCCCAGCCCATGTTACTTTGGCCCTCAGTTTTCTTAACAGATTGGAGGTTCCCAAGAGGCCCTCCAGGGGAGTGAAAATGGGCATTTCCCTTGTGGGCAGCTGCAGGCCCCATGCCTCTCCTTCCTCCTGGCAGGGTCCTATCTTGGCAGGGGGCCTGGGTCTGGGCCCAGAGTCCAGTTGTCCAGCTGCTCCTTTCCCAGTATGAATTCAATAAATCCATCCACTCCCTTTTTGTGGGGTGAATGTTTTAACAGCCAAGGGTGCATCATCCTTCATGGTTTGGGCTTGCGTCTGTTTTGGGGACACATACTTTCCCAGTTTCCTTTGTTCCTTGCTCTGGTGGGACATTAAAGCAAGTGCTGAGTGAGTGGCCACAGCCTAGGCCCTGACTAGGGTGAGTGGCCACCTCTGTGTCTAAATGCGACCTAGACTTGGAGAGGAAGGGGTCTTCAGTGCACCTGCCTGGGCATGGCTTTGAGGAAGCCAGGCCTTCTCCTGCTTTGGGGTTAGAGAGAAGCTTGGGGTCAGTTGACGGACAGGAGGGAGGGAGCTGCAGTCTCTGTTGGGCTAAATTAAACTATATAGGCACCCGGGAACTAGGCCTCTCAAGGCTCTTTAAAAGTCGTTTAAGGAGTGGGGCCACAGGTCAGAAAGAAAGGGGGTGTTAGGGCAGCTCCTATGCTACAGGTTGGAGTTTGGAGGGGCATACAGGTGCCTCAAGAGGGCATCTCCAAGCCTAGTGGCTGTCCTTGGGGACAGTGGCAGAAGAAAGGTGATATTGCTGGGGAGAGATTGCACCCCCCAAGAAACTGAAAATGAATTAGCAACTCCCTTTGCGGTGCCCTCCAGTCCAAAGGTGAAGACAGGCCCCTTGATGATCCTAACCCTTTGCTTTTTTTTCAGGGCCAGTCTTGCTGGCCCTCCAGCATTGAGGCCTTCAGGCCCCAGCGGTTCCACCTAGGGCAGGGCCTGAGCTCGAGCAGGGAAGGGAGCTCTGGGCCCCAAACCGGTTTTCCCACCTTGGCTAGGGCTGGCATATCACCCCTCTGGTTCCCTCCCCACCCCCACCTCCTTGCAGTTCCTCTCTCCACCCTAGAATGTAAAGGGGGTAGGGGGGCTATGCAGGTAATCTTGTCTCCTGCCTGCCCTGGGTGTTGTCTCTTCTAGAAAGGCAAGGCCTCTATGTATGATTTTGTTAACGAAGAAACATTCAAATCTGTAAATAATTTTTGTGAGTTTACTTGAGCCAAATTACTGGGAAACAGAATCTCAACATACTGAGATATTGCTCCAGAGAACGGCAATTTGTCACCTTGTTTTATAAATTACAATCAGAGGAGGAGGCATAAGTGGGTAGCAATCTATTGGTGATAGATTAGGAAGGCAGGAGAAAGCAAAGCAGGGAAACCTCTGGGATTGGGTAAAAAGTAAAATGATAGACACGTGCTTATTTTTACATGGGTGGATACAGGATAGTTAACAGTCAACAATTAACACGATAACAATGAGGTAATTTGTAGTTTCTCCCAGGTGCACCGGTTGTGCCCTGAGGGGCCCAGAAAAAAGGGAAGTTACAAGTTACCCCCTGACTTTTCAAAGGTATGTTTATTGTAGATGCAAAAAGACAATAGGCTCAGTTAAGATCAAAGTTGATCTTTGTCAGGGAATATACCGGCCTAGGACATGACTACCCACCATAGACTGCTTTTTAATTTAAAAAGTTTTGATTTCAGACCATCCTTTGTGGTTACTTTAGGTCTCTGAGTTTGCAAGGCCGCCACGCAGGCCTTGCCTGAGTTAGTCAGGTTAGCATGTGGCCCCTTTTCATTCACAACTTTAAAACAGAAAGTGGAGTCACCGCTCCACCCTTGGCTTCCGCACTCCTGACACAGATCCCTTCTAGGCCTTGGAAAGCTTTGAAACTAAGTGACAGCAAACAGTAATAGGGATTCCCCTTACAGTCATTACCCCCCCCCCCCCCCACACACACACCTATGCCTTGGAGAGGAGACCAGAAAGTCATGAGGGAGACCACCTACCTCCTGGCCTGCTTTGGTGTAAGTAGGTGGGAGCAGTAGCCAGGTGGCCCTGGCCAATCCAAGTCCCTTACCTCAAACAACAAGGCAAATCCTTTCCATTTGTCTCCTGCCTATAAGAACACCTCTTTTGCTGCAACTGAGATCACCTCATTTTTTTTAATATACATTTTTTAATTGATTTCAGAAAGTAAGGGGGAGAGCTAGATAGAAACCTCAATGATGAGAGAGAGACATTGAGGGGCTGCCTCCTGCATGCCCCCTACTGGGGGGAATCGAGCCTGCAAACCCAGCATGTGCTCTTGTCTGAATTGAACCTGGGACCCTTTAGTCCCCAGGCTGACCCTCTATCCACTGAGCCATACTGGCTAGGGCAGATCATCTAATTTTTGATAACACCACATCTCAGGTGCTGTGCTAAGCACTTTAGATGCTTACAACGCCCTTATGAGATAGGTAAAACCGTGAGAAAACAGGCACAAGGAGGGTCCAGTAATTCACCCAAAGCTACACCGCTAGTGTCGAAGCAAGTGTTCTCCCCAGGGTGACCCTTGAAGTTACTCTTTACTTATACTCTGCACCCTTTCAGTAAGGAAGCAACCATCTTCCTAATCCTCCTAAAGGTAGTCCTCTTGAAATGGAACTGGTTGCTGAGGTCAATTTCTAACCCATGGAAGAATAGCTTTTGGGATGGAGATGAGGGATGTGGAGTTCTTGCAGCTCTTCTATCTATAAACTCCTGTTCCAGCAGTCCCCATACAAATACAGGTCTTCTGTAAATACCCTTCCTATTCTCCTACCTATTACCCCATTGAAACAAATAGGTGAGAACTATCAGTATTTTACAAAGGAGGCTAATAGGGAGGAGTTAAATGACCTGCCCAAGGCACTGGCCTTGAGCTCTCGTGTTCTCCCTGGGAGTCTGGGTTTCATACCAAATGCCCCACCAGGATACTGCTGGGACTGGGCTGGGAATGGGAGGGGCTGGGGGTGGGGATGGGCCTATGAGCACAGAGCTTTGAGGAGGGATCCAGCAAGGCGGTACTATCACAGAGCCCGGATGGGAAGCCGCAGGTGCTGCCTTCACTTGGGACTGACCGCTACATAAGCCAGAAGGGGGTCCCAGTCCTGGGGATGCTGGTGCAGGGTTCTGCGGGCCTGGTTGACTTTGGAAGGACCCAGAGCGAGCCAGTAGCTGGTCCTCAGGTGGCGTGGGCAAAAATTATTTCTTTTTGGGAGACGGGGAAGACAAGGCCACCTATAACCGCCTTTTCAAATCTGGAGGCCTGAGAGGAGGTAACCGGGACAAACTACAACTCCCAGAAGCCTCTGCTCTCTGGAGTCAAGGATGGTTGTCATGGTTTCAGAAAACAATATGGCCTCTCCCAGCTGGGACGGGAGTCTCCGGGTTAGAGAGGCAGAAGCGGGTCTGGACGCCCTCGGCGGCGAGGGAGGAGACGCTTGAGCGGCCGTGAGTTTGGGACTGGACGCTGCCCGGCTGGATCAGCCTGCCTTTGCCGAGGGTGCCAATGGCGGGCAGTGTGGACGAGGAGGCGCTGCACCAGCTGTACCTGTGGATAGACAACATCCCTCTGTCCCGGCCCAAGAGAAATCTCTCCCGGGACTTCAGTGACGGAGGTGTGCGCCTGTGTGTGTCCACATTTCTGTCCTGTAGGCACGTGTGTAAGGGGTCTTTGTGCAAACATATCTTTACGCTTGTGTACGTGTGTGGTGTGCATGTTTGGGGGGTTGTCTATCTCCGAGGACTTCAGTTGCAGAAATGAGTCTGAGTGTGTGAGTGAGTAACTCTCTCATGGGACTTAATGACTAAGGTGCATATCTGTGTATGTATTTTTGCATCTCTGCGTGTGTGCATGCACATTGCTATATTCTATATGTTTATCTTATGGGAGTCAGAGTGTGTGCTCCTATGTGTATTGACACATTTTGTCCTGTGTGTATGTAGGGGAGTCTTGTGTGTATATGTGTTGTTTTGTGATTGTGAAGGTGCCTGTGTGTTTAAGATTGTCTCTTGGGATTTTAATGTGTGACTCTTTGTGCTTCTGTATGTATGTTGGTGACTGTCTCTTGGAACTCCAGTGATGGAAATATGTGTATGTGTCCATCTCTCTGTGTGCTATATGTGTGCTTGGACATGTGTGTAGTGTGTGTGTGTGTGCTATGTGTGTCTGGAAAGGTATGTATCCTGTGTATCTACACATTCTATCCTATGTGCATATCTGTAGAGGGATCTTATCACATATGTTTTTGTGAGTCTATGACTTTCTCCTGGGACTTTGGTGTTGTATGTGTGTGTGTATCTATATTTATGCCTAGGATGGAGACCCAGGATCCTGAAGGGCTCCCATGGAGAGTCCTTCTCTATCAGGACACCAGAGACCACAGTTTTCAAATGCCCTGAGTTAATGGGGAAGGAATGTAGCCCCCCTGGAGTATGCTGGAGGCTTAGTCTCCAGCCGTTCACTGATCTCACTTCCTTCCCCCCCCCACCGTCCTCTTTCACCCCTCTCTTCCTATCATCCTTTTCCATTTCCACATCTCCACCTCTCCACTTGGCCCCACCACTCTGCCACCCATGATTCTCCCATTCCACCCATTTGTTCTCTCTTCCTCTTCTCCCTTTCCCATCCCCGCCCCCTTCATGTCTGCTCCCACTCCTACTCCTTCAGTTCTGGTTGCAGAAGTCATCAAGTTTTACTTCCCCAAGATGGTGGAGATGCACAATTATGTCCCTGCCAACTCTCTCCAGCAGAAGCTCAGCAACTGGGGTCACCTGAACAGGTAGCAGAATATCTGGGTGCACTAGCAGGATTTCTGGCCCCTACCCTGGGCTCCCCGGCAGGGCTGCCCCAGCCCCTCCACCTCCTATGGTCTCCACAGCCCAGGCAGACAGAATTGTCTGGTGACAAAATTAAGGGACTCTTCTATTGGGGAGGTGAAAGGTAACTTGGGACACCCAAGAACAGGGCTCAGGTACGGTGCTCTTCCATCCCCCCGGGGCTGTGCACTTAGCACAGCAGCTGCCGCACCCCTCTTGCTCTCCCCCACCTCCCTCACTTCACTGCCTGGGGACGTGGTCCGCCATCCCTGTGTCTACCGTCCAGGAAGGTGCTGAACAAGCTGAATTTCTCGGTGCCGGAGGACGTGATGCACCAGATTGTGCAGTGCACCCCCGGCGTGGTGGAGTTGGTGCTCATTCCACTGAGGCAGCGCCTGGAGGAGCGGCGGAGACGCAGGAAGCAGGGCTCGGGCTCCTTACAGGTGCCACCTACTCAGACTTCTTCTCCCCCTGCTCTGAGGGAGCTTCCCAGCCTGCAGAAAGCCCCACCGTGGCGATAAGTGTGGGAGAAGGGTGCCTGGTTAAAGGGAGCCTGGCCTGGGGGACGGTGGGTGGGTGGGAGGGACATGGGGCTCTTTGGGGATGGGCGAGCAGGAGCTCACAGTGGACCCCGGGGTTCTTTTAGGAGCTGGTTCCCCAGGACGGCAGTGGTTACATGGATGTGGGTAAAGTGGCTTTTACATTTCCTACCTCCCAGGGGGAGCTTTTCTCCTTTCCTTCCTTGGGGGGAGAGAGGAGGGAAAGACAGGAAAATAGGACTCCAGAAGGGTTACTCCACCACTTACCTCTTCTCAGGTTTGTCCCAGAAGCCCCGAGGGGAAGGTGCCCAGGACACCCAGGGAGGCGGGCAGCTCAGGTAAGGAAACTGGGAGTTCCTGACCTTACCTGACCAGGTAAGGGGGTAGGGAAGGCAGGAATGGGGCAGGGGAGTGGGGAGACCTGGCCGAGGGGCCCTGGAAAGATGAGGGTCAGGCCTTCCCTAAGCTGCTTCCCACCCCAGGGGGGGCCGGCAGCCGGTGCCCCGGCGTCCTGGGTATAGCCAGGTGCTGCACGGCGACCCGAGCGTCATCCTCCAGATTGCCGAGAAGGAGCAGGAGTTGTTGGCCTCGCAGGAGACTGTGCAGGTGGGAACCCTGGGAGGTGCGGGGTGGTTGGGGGGGGTTGGGGCCTGTGGAGGACGGGATGAAGGCAGCGGGTCCCTGGGTTTGACCTCTGCGCGGCCGCCCAGGTCCTGCAGATGAAGGTGCGGCGCTTGGAGCACCTGCTCCAGCTCAAGAACGTGCGCATCGACGACCTCTCCCGCCGGCTGCAGCAGGCGGAACGGAAGCAGCGGTGAGCTGAGCAGCTGCTCAGGACGCAGGGATGCCCCAGTGTCTGCCAGAGCCCTGAAAAGGCCGACACACCCACAGAACAGCCCATGCACCCACAGAGCGCGGACTAACGGGCGGGAAGGGGGCGGGTCCAGCTGCTCCTAAGAGCCTCCGGGAGCCCCTCCCTCGGGGTGAGGGTGAGCATGGTGGGTGGGCGGTGGGACAGGAGCCCTTACGTCTGAGCACGGAACTGAGCCACCTCCTCCCACTCCATCCGGATCAGGAGAATGGACCACTTTCCAGAACCCAGAAACCGTGTGCGGAGGCCTGGTGTGTACCCCAAAGCAGTGAGAGACACCAGGCGCTCTGCTTTGGAGCTCCCTGTGCTGGGCTTTGGGGGATGGTCCCCCCACTGGGTCCGCACCACTAGAACCGGGTCCCCATCCAGCTGTGAGAACAGTGATGTCTCCATCTAGTTCTTTGTGCCCTGGGCCATTGGGGAAGCTGAGGGAGTCCCTGGCCTCTCCTGTGCTCACCTGGGACCCATCTGGAGGCTGGAGGAGGGCAGCTGCTGGAGAGGAAGGGAGGAGGAGGGGTTCAGCCATGTGTGGGGAAGACATCGGCTGTGCCTATACCAAATCGCCCTCCCCTCCCATGAGGTAGAGTTGAGAATATTTAGGGTATATGGGACAAGGCTGCCCCCATTAAAAGCAGTGTGTTCTCTCTCTTGTGCTAACCTTCTCTCTCTGCCTGGATCCTGGTGGGCAGTGAGGTCCTGCCTCCCTTTTGTTGCACCCTTCACCCCTTGAGGGCCTTTTATGCCCAGAATGGGTCTTGCCTTGTGGGCAGCTGGGCCCTGGGTGGCCACTGCTTTGTAGGCTGATGATACTACATTATCAGGTCTTCTGCACTAGGAGAGTCTGACTTCTAACTCTGGCCTTACTAGACTGACCCCCAAATCCACCCTCACACTCTCCTCCATCTCTGTCCAAACCCACATTTCAGATTCTCTCCAAATGTAGCCACATACTCACCCTAAACCATGCCCGTGGACTGACTCCTAAATATGTCCTCTGTGTGACTCAACCCTGCTCACAGACTGATCCCAAGTTTTATGGACTGAAGACAAGCTTAACTCCCAACCCTGACTGAGACACCATGGCCAGGGTGTGACCCTAACTCTGACCAGTAACATTGAACATTTGTAAATCCTAAACCTCCTACAATTCTGTTCCTAGGCATATATGCAGCATATACCCAGGAGAAACTTAAGCTTCGCGTTCTGTGTTCTGGGACATATGTATAGCAATGTTCATAGCAACACATTTTGTAATAGCAAAAGAACTGTTATCTGTTACTGTGTAACAAATCACCGCACACCTAAAGGCTTAAAACAGCATTTATTATCTCATATTTTCTGTTGCTCAAGAGTCCAGGGATGGCTTAGCTGGGTCCTCTGCCTCAGGGTTTCTCACAAGGCTGCAATCAAATTGTTAACCAGAGGTGTAGTCTTATCTGAAGGCTTGACTGGGGAGGGACTCACTTCTAAGTTCATCTGGTTGTTGACAGAGTCCAGTTTCTTGTGGACTGTTCGAGTGAGGGCTTCAGTTTCTTGCTGGTTGTTGGCTGGTGGCTGCCCTCATTTCCTCGTCATCCAGCAAGGGAGAGAGTTAGATGCTAGCAAGGTGGAAGTTATAGTCTTATCTAATGCAATTACAGAAGTGACATCCATCACATCTGTCATATTCTATGTATTTGAAATAAGTCACTAGATCCAGCCAACATTCAAGGGGAGAGGAACACATAGGTTTGAATACCAGGAGGGAGAGATCAATGGGAGCCATTTTAGAAGCTGGCTATAAGGAGGAAAAAGCAACAGAAGATGAAATCTAGGATAGGGGTTGCTTCTGAGAGAAAGCAGAGGGCAGAGATGCAAGAGGCACATTAGTAGATATAAGTTATTTGTAATGTTTTAGTTCTTGGGGCAAGTGGTGGGTTTACAAGTGTTCACAAATGGGCTGTTTATGGACAACTGGGGAGAAAGTGTGAGGTTATTTATTGTTCTGAACCATTAAATAACAAACAAGGATTATGTGGTGTCCAATTCTATTTACCTGAGTTCCTAAATTAATACAAATAAAAACTGATAACTATTCATGACCTTGGTCTGTGCCCTTCCCTTGCACTCAGCCTGGTCTTAGGTTAAACACTGGCTGCAGCCTGGCCCTCTGTCTTACCCAAATTAACCGCAGCCCTGCATACATATTGACCCAGTCTAGCACTGTTCTCTCTCCATCATCTGCACTGGGTCTTCAGTGTTCTGTTCTCTAAACCTTTCATCCATGGACCGTATTTTTATGCTCCTGTGTGTGGAGCTGGAAGGCATGGTTTGTAGAGGGGTCTGAGGATCAGGGTGTGGGGTAGGGCATGGTTCTGCCTGACAGGAGCACAATGGACCCAGAATGCAGGTTCAGCGATTGGGGTTACCCCCTTAAGAGTTTGCTGACCTCCTCCATTAGCAGAGGCTAGGCCAGGTCCTCGGGGTTCTTCCTCCTTGAGCCCCGCCCCCCCATTCCTACCACCCAGATATGCCTGAGACTGTTTTAATATCTCAAAACCCTACAGATCAAACCCCAAAAGAGGTGGAGAATTTTATTGAATGTTTCTTGGGAACAAATATGAAGGTGGATTACATCACACATTATGTCTATAACTCTTCTTTAAACATCTCTCTTGTTCTCTAAACTTCCCTTCTGACAGCCACTACCATATTTTTCCCACTCTGCGCCTCACTCCCCTATTGCCTTTCTGATCCACACTAAATCAGATTTCTTCTGGTTCATTCATTCATTAATTCCTCAAATGTTTATTGAGTGTCTACTATGGACTAAATACCAGGAACACAAGGATGACGATAAAACAAGATTTGTATTCTATTTTCACAATCCTAGGAGGGGAAAGGCATGTAAAAAAGCATTTAACATTTTTTGTTACTTAATATTTTGAATAGATCAAACACATCAAAACATATAAGCCCGCCTGGTGTGGCTCAGTGGTTGAGCGTCGTCGACCCATGCACCAAGAGGTTGCTGATTTGATTACTGGTCAGGGTACATGCCCAGGTTGCAGGCTCCATCCCTGGTGGGGGGCATGCTGGAGGCAGCCGATCAATGATTCTCATCATTGATGTTTCTGTCTCTCCCTCTCCCTTCCTCTCCGAAATCAATAAAAATATTTAAAATATACATTTTTCAAAAACATAAAAAGTGAAAACTCACCTTGGTCCCCTACACCTCCGATAACCTTTTTCTTTAGTTTTTGCATATTCCTCCATAGTATCTTAATGTGAATACAAGCAAATATGCACATTTATTGTTATCGTACCCCCAATCTTTTTTAATATAAAGAAGCAGATTATCCACTCTTTTCTGTATTTTTTAAAAATTATTTTATGTACAAAAAGATAGCATTCTGTCATAAGATAGATGTCTTGAATGACTCATTCATGAAGTTCATTTAGTCCAACTTAATGAAGCCTACGTCCTTCGTGTACTGACAGAAACACTGGCGACACATGTTGAGGCCGTATTTCCAGATCACAGTGTGGCAGTTTGAGCAGCTGCAGCAAGGAGAACCCTGGTGGAATTTCCTCAGATGGCTCCAGTGGAGTTGCTGGTGACCCATCTTGCTCTCTGTGTAGCAAAACAAGGCAAAAGGCTCTTTTCTGTATCTTGATTTTCCACTCAACATGGTCTCTTTTAGATATGTGATGGTCAATATTGTGTGCCAACTGGACTGGGCCACAGGGTGCCCAGACATTTGGTCAAATGCTATTCTGGGTGTTTTCTGTGAGGGTGTTTTTGGATGAGTTTCATTTAGATGGGTAGTCAGATTGTTCTCCCTGATGTGAGGGGGCCTCTTCCAATCAGTTGAAGAAGGCCTGACTAGAATAAAAAAGCTGTGTCTTCCGTGAGTAGGAGAGAATTCCTCCTGCCTGACAGCCTTTGAACTGGGAGATGGGCTTGTTTTGTTTTGTTTTTGCCTTTGAACTTTAACTGAAGCATGAATTCTTCCTGGGTCTTGAGCCTGCCAGCCTTTGGACTGGAACAAAACCATGGGCTCTCCTGGGACTCCAGCTTGCTGACTCATCCTACAGCTCTCGCAACTTGTCAGCCTCCATGACTGCATGAGCTACCTCATCTATCTCTGTCTCCCATTGGTTCCGTTTCTCTGGAGAACCTTGACTAATGCAATATTTTTCCATTACAGTATGTACCGGTACATTGAAAACTTCCAAGTAAAATTCTATTGTCTGTACCAAATTTAATCAGCCCTCTATGGACACTTGGCTTATTTTTAATGTTTTATTAATAATACAACAATGAAGAACCTCACACATTCATGATTTAATGTTGTGTACAAGTATATCTGCACGATAAATTCTAGAACTGAGGTTGTCCAGTCAAAGGATACATACATTTGCCCTGACCGGTGTGGTTCAGTTGGTTGAATGTTGTCCTGTGCACTGAAAGGTTGCTGGTGTACTGTGCACTGAAAGATTCCTGGTCAGGGTACATGCCCAGGTTGCTGGTTCAATCGCTGGTCAGGGTATGTGCAGGAGGCAACCAATCTATGTTTCCCCTCTCACACTGATGTTTCTCTCCCTGTCTCTTCCTCTCTCTCTCTCTCTCAAATCAACAAATCATATTTTTATAAAAAGAATACATGTATTTTCAATCTTGGTAGATATTGTGAAATTGTCATCTACAAGGGCATGGTTCAGAGCAAAGGCTGATGTCTGGTGGCCCGTTGGCCTGCTTTGGTTTGCAGTGCTGTGTTTTTACAAAATTTCTAATTTTTATATTGATGAGGATGTGAAGTAACTGGAACTCTCATACTCTGCTGAGAGTGTGAGTACAAACATTTCAGAACAGTTTGGCAGTTTCATATAAAATTAAGCATATGCCTATGCTATTGTATGAGTTCAATCAGAGAAGCAGAAAGACTTTGTTACAGGGACTTGATGTCAGGTAACTGTTAAAGAGGCTGTTGTTTTGCATCTGATTCTGGACCTCAAAGCTCACAGGTCAGGCAGTTGGGAAGGAAGGATGGATATAAAGTGTGTGTGTGTGTGTTTGGGGGGGGGGGGGGCGGAGAACGGATGAGTTGGAATCCATGAGCACAAGCTGGAGCCTTTGAGAACAAACTGGAACTCACCTTAGTTCCCACTGCCTCCAAATTTGATGATGTGGGTGTCGTGCTGGAGAAGTCGGTGCCCTTTCCTATCTGGCCCAGGAGTCAGAGAGGCTGAAGGAGGATCCAGGGCAAGGTGGAGCAGTTATGGGCCTGGGTGCTACCCTGCCAATGAGATGAGCCAGCAGATCAGCAACAAAGTGGATAGGCAGGAGCTCCAGACCTTGCAGGTGTAAAAACCAATATAGCCACTGTTTTCTTTTACCCTCCAAATCTCATGCAAAAATGTCTGTTGTGGACCACCCTAATTGGAAACACACATGGAAGAGAATTCTGGGAAATGTAGTTCCTTCTAAATTGGTACATTATAAAATCACCACAGCCATGTTCCAGCAATTCCATTCCTCAATATATACTCAAGAGAAATGCATCCATATGTTTACCAAGATATGTACTAGAATATACACTATAACATAGTTTCCCCCTTAAACCACAGAGGTTACCTTCTAAGACCCCCAGTGGATGTCTGAAACCTCGGAGAGTACCAAACCCTACACATACTGTTTTTTCCTACACATACATACATAGCTATGATAAAATTTAATTTATAAATTAGGCACTGTAACAGATTAATAACAATAATAACTAATAATAAAATAGGACAATTATAACAATATACTGTACTAAAAGTTATGCGACGGTGGTCCCTCTGATACCAATTGAGACTACAAATTCCCTCACTGTTATTATCATGATAATGGGATTTTTAAAAATTTATTTTTAAAATATGTTTTTACTGATTTTATTTTTTGGTTATTTTTAGAGAGAAAGGGAGGGAGCGTGTGTAACTTTGATCAGCTGCCTCCTGCAAGTCCCTTACTGGGGATCAAGCTAACAACCTGGGCATGTGCCCAAACTGGTAACCTCTCTGTGCATGGGACAATGCTTAACTAAATGAGCTACACAGGGCAATCATGAAATTGTTGACTGTTAACTATCCTGTACCCACCTATGTAAAAGAGTATGTGTCTATCATTTTATCTTTCATCCAATCCCAGAGTTTCTCTCTCCCCCACCCCTCACCTTTGCTTTCTCCCACCTCCCTATTCTATTGCCAATGGATTTCATGTCATCCACTTATGTCTTCTCTTTTGATTATAATGTATAAAGCAGGGTGCAGAACTGCCATTTTTTTCGGAGCATTTTTCTCAATCCGTGGAGGTTTTTCTTCCTGGCAATTGTCATCAGTTTGGTTCAAATAAACTCACACAAATTCTCTGCAGGGTTGAACGTTTCTTACTTTGACAAATTGGAGGGGGGGCATAGCAGAGTGCATGGAAGGTGGGAGTGGGTAGTGAGAGAGCATCTGGCAGGAGCTGGTGGGCTAGGTGGAAATCTCCCAGTGCCAGCACCTGCGGACAGCATCTCAAACTCCAGAATGCGCAGGAGTCACCCAAAAATCTGCTAAAAAGTTTGTGAGGCTCTGCTGGAGACAGTGGCAGAGCAAGGAGCGCTTTGCAGCAGAGTAGCACTCGATGGAGACAATAGCTCAGGAAGGTTAGTTTGCCAACAGCGTGCAGACAAAAGCACAGGGTAGGAGCCTTGGAGGCTCCCAAAGGCAGCGATCAGGTCCTTTTGAAAGGAAGCTGGCCCTCAGCCTTTCAGGCCATCTCTCCCCTAGTCACGTTGGAAGGAGGGCGCCCTGCCGGCACTTTAGGGACTCTGTTCCCGCCGGGGAAATGGTGTGTGTGTGTGTGTGTGCCTGTGTTCAAGCACAAGCAGGCGGAGGTGCAGCTAGAGCCGCTGAAGACTCTCCCACCGCTATCCCCTGCCTCTCGTTCCTCTACTCCCGGCAGGCGCCCACAGCCCACCTTGCAGCGCTG